TCTAGCAGTGGCGTTTGGCGGGCCTCAGTTTTGCGCGGTCTACCCCGCCGTCGTTCAGGGGGTTTATCATGGTCGTTGGAGTGGGCCGAGTCGGACTCTGCTGCAGGTGGGATTGGCCTCTGGCTGGTCTCTCCCGACCCTGCACTAGGAAGTTCGGGTCCAGTGGCTATCGGCGACCTCCCGGTCTGTTCGCGGGGTGTATCCTCTTCTGGCATTCTCTCCGCCGCTCCAGTTTGCGCCGCATCCGAGCGTCCAGCTTTGGAGGGGAGTTCAGTAGCCCGTTGGTTTCCTGGCGATGTTGATGGGGTTAGCCATTGGTCTTCCTCCTCTTCGAGCCGATTCTCCTCCTGGTCGGTTGCGGTTTCATCAAGTGGTGGTGGTGTGCTGACTCTCCTGGCTGGTTCCGATCCTGCTGGCGCCGCCTCTCTCTGCTGGGTGGTCCGCGAAGAAGCCGGCCAGGTAATGGCGGGTAGCGGCTCGCTCGTCTCGGTTGAGTGGTGAAGGATTGGCTCGGATTCCTGCGGGGGCACTACCGGTCTCCTGGTGACTGAGGATCCGGGCGATGGAGTTGGTGCCTCGGAGTTGTCGTCCGTTTCGCTAGAGGCTTCAGAAAACCTCCTTTGGGCCTGCGCTTGTGCTCGATATTTCCTTTTTTCGTTTTGTAGCCATGTTTCCAGGTGGTCCTGAGGTGTATGCGCCTGTTCGGTGGTGGGGTTCTTCAAGAACGCCGGTAGCGGGTCATTTGGCCACACAAACTCGGCTCGCTGTTCCTTTAGACGATTTACGTGTACCCTCAGAAGTCTCCATCGGTGGTTCGGGTGTTCGACCATGTAGTTGAGTGGTCCCACCTTTTCGACGACGCGGTAGCCAGGTCTCCATGGAGCGTGCAGCTTCTTGGTTTGTCCCTCTCCTACTCTTTCGTCTAGGAGAAGGACCTCATCGCCCACTTCAAAGTGTCTGTCCTTGCTGTTTCTGTCATGGTTCTTCTTTTGTTGGTCGTGGGCCCTTTCGAGGTGCTCTTGCACCATCTTGAATGCTGTGTGTAGTTTGATGACAGTCGCTGATCTTGTGGCTTGTACCTCGGCGTGGGGGTCCGGGTAGTCCTCTCGCAGAGGGCTGAGCCACACATTGAGGGGTTCACGACACGGCCGCCCGAACATGAGAAAAAATGGGGTTTCGTTGGTGCTGGCTTGCGTCGCTGCCCGATAGGCGTGCATGACGAAAGGGAGGTAGGTGTCCCAGTCGCGCTGGTGTGCGGCCACAAACCCCCGCAGCATCGACGCCAGCGTGCGATTGAATCGTTCGCACAGGCCGTCAAACTGCGGGTGGTACGGAGTGGTGAACAGGTGGGCTGTGCGGAGCAGCCGGCACATTTCCTCGATGAGTTTCGATCGAAAGTTCGGTCCGTTGTCGGTGATAAGTCTCGAAGGCAGTCCGTACTCTAAGAATTTTTCCATGAGGGCGTTGGCGGTGGTCTGAGCGGTTTGATCTTTGGTGGCGATCGCCAGGACGAAGCGCGTCAGGTAATCCGTCACTACGATGATGTACTTTTTCCCCGATCTCGTTTGAGGAAGCGGTCCCATGACGTCCACGGCTACTGTGTGCCAGGCACCCAGTGGCTTTGGCATGTCTCCTAGCGGAGCCTTCACCAGCCGGCCTCGATCTTTGAGCTGACAGGTGGGACAGCGTTTGATGAATTCTGAGCAGATCGTGTACATCTTTTTGAAAAAGAAGCTGCGTCGAAGATTGCCCAATGTTTTTCCTGTCTTCAGGTGGCCTGCGTGCGCGTCCTGCACTGCGGCTTTCACTAAGCACTGAGGGAGAACGATCTGTCTGAGGTCCTCCCCTGCTCGCTCAGTGTTCACTCTTTCCAGAATGTCATCATCGCTGACCTTAAACTGGTGTCTCCTTGCCCACGTAGGCATTTCGAGTCCTTGCTCCAGCGCTCGCCTCAGTTCCTTGCAGTCCGGGTCCCTTTTCTGTAAATCGGCCAGCTGCCTCCGCCCATCTCCTGGGGAAACGGCTTTGTGGCTCCCTCCCTGGAGTTGAGGGGGCTGTTCCGAGCTGGCTTCGATGGTTGACACGTGAGTTTGATCTCTGTCGGGGTCCTTTTTGTTGCTGACCTCCTCTCGACGGGCTTCCGGCTGGCTGTCATCCTCGTATATGCGCGACAAGAAGTCCGCGTTCCGGTGCTGGTTTCCGGGCTTGTGAGTGATGTTGATGTCAAATTCTTGCAGGGCCATTCGCCATCTCTGAAGTCTCGGGTTCGGATTGCGTAGGTCTTGCAGCCACTTTAGAGCCCAGTGGTCGGTGACCACTTCTACCCGGCGGCCCAGGATGAAGTCCCTAAAGTGCTGCACTGCCCATACGAGGGCCACGCACTCCAGTTCGCACGCCGAGTAGTTCTCCTCCAGCTTGGTTGTTCGTCTCGAGGCATACGCGATGACCCTCTCCTTTGCTTCTCCGTCGAACTGCTGGCCCAGAATCGCCCCCAGTCCTGTGGAGCTTCCGTCCGTCATCAAGATGAAGGGCTTGGTGAAATCTGGTAGGGTCAACACCGGTTCTTGAGTGAGCGCCGTTTTGAGGTCTTCGAAGGCCTCCTCCTCTTTCTGACCCCAGTGGAACGTTGCACGCTTTTTGGTGAGCTCAGTGAGAGGTTGCGCTCTTCTGCTGAAGTCTGGCAGAAAGGTCCGATAGTACGACGCCATCCCGAGGAAGGACCGCACTTGCTTGACGGTGTTGGGTGCCGGCAGGTCACGGATTTTGGTGATGTTGTCGGGGTCCGGCCTTATCTCCCCTGGAGATATGATGTGGCCCAGGTACTTCACCTCCTCTTTGGCCAGCACGCATTTGGAGGGTTTCAGTTTGATCCCTGCGTCCTTCAGTCTTGTAAAGATGAGTTTGAGATGTTCCAGGTGCTCCTCAAAGGTTTTCGAATAACAGATGATGTCATCGATGAAACAATGGGCAAACTTTCCAGTGTATCCGGAGAGGATGTGCGACATGAGACGCTGGTAGGTCGAAGGACTCGTTTTTAATCCAAAGGGCATGCGAATGTAATGGTACAAGCCCAGGAAACACCTGAATGCTGTCTTGTGACGGTCTTCTTCAGCGATGGTTACCTGCCAGTAGCCTTGTTGGCAGTCAAGGCAGCTGAAAATCTTCGCTTCCCCGAGGGTGTTGAAGATTTCGCTGCGCGTGAGTGGCATGGGGTAGTTATCTGCCTTCGTGATCTTGTTTAGGCCCCGGTAGTCCACACAGAATCGTGTCTCTCCAGATTTCTTCGGTACAAAGACCACTCCGGCCGCGTAGGGTGACACAGACGGCTCAATAACTCCCTTTTCCAGCATCTCACGCACCTCTTTTTCTATGATGTCCCGATCGACTTGAGCCACCTTGTAGGCTGGTCTCCGCACAGGCTCGTCGCTGGTGAGTTCAATCCGATGTTGGAGGAGGTCGCAGTTTCCCAGCTCCCCGTTCCAGGCGAAGCACTCGGAGTATTCCTCCACCAGTTCCAACAGCTGACTCTTCTCCTCCGGAGAAGCCGCTCCGATGTTGATTGGGTAACTGGTTGGCGGAGCCTCGCTGGTGCTGTTTGCATCTTGGTCGGTGGTGTCCGTTCCTGAAACCGGCGCTCCTTCTTGTTGGTAGATCTGGTTTACCTTTCTGTCCTTCTGTTCCGCTGTTCCCTGTTCTGGCCGTCGGTCTGGACTGCCTTCGGGCGGTGGTTGGTTGGGGTCGGTCACCGAGGTCGGCGCTTCTTCGTTGGCGTCGATCCGGTCCTCCTCGTCTTCCCTCCGTTCTGGTGTTTCTGTTTCTCGGTGTCTGTCTGGATCGCCCTTTGGTCGTAGTTGGGCGGTGTTGGTTGATGAAGCCGGCGCTCCTGCGTTTTGGTGGAGACGTTTCCCATCTTCTTCGATCTGTTCCCCTGTTTCTTGTTCTTGGTGTTGGTCTCCACTGCTGTCTGGTGGTGGTTGTATGGGGTCGGTCTCCGAGGCCGGTGACTCTTCGTTTGCGTCGATCTGGTTCTCCTCGTCTCCTCTCCGTTCTGTTGTTTCTGTTTCTCGGTGTCTGTCTGGACTGCCCTTCGGTGGTGTTTGGGCGGTGTTTGTTTGGTTCAGGCTGGGTCCGGTGCGGTTTGTGTTCCTCCCATCCTGGCAGTCATTGTCGGACACGACGGTGGTTGGTGGTTGATCTCCACTCGCCTCTCCCCGCTCTTCTGTCTGAGTCGGGCAGTGTAGCTTGTCCTTGCCCACTTGCATTGACGTTTCGACTGGGTGTAGTTTGGTTTCGTTGATCGCCGTCTGTTCCTTCCCTTCCTGCTTTTCGTCGAGCTGTTCCGGTCTCTCGCTACCTCTTCCAGTCGCCCGCGGGCATCCCTCTCTCTCCTCGCTCGATCTTGGGTGGTGTCCCGGGTGTTTTTCAGGCGGGTTCCTGCTCACACACCAGCCGGAGAGGCATTCGTCGACCACTTGATCGGCATTTTGCAGGGGTATTTGCTCGGATCCTGGCAGCTGGACGAACTGTCTTACTGCGTCGATGGCCACCCCGTGTCGTTGAATGTAGTCAAAACCAATGATAGCGTCTTGAAGGATGTCTCTGCATACGAGAGCCGGATGTTTTGTCGTGATTTTTCCAAATGTGAAGCTGAGGGTGACTTCGTACGCGACCGGTATTTGATGTCCTGAAGCAGATTTTAGGATGACGTTGGTGGTCTCGCCTGGGGGTCTTGTGATGCCGTGCTTGAACTCCAGAAGTTCTGCATTGACGATGGTGACCATGGAACCTGTGTCGAGGAGCACAAAGGCGTCTGTGCCTTCGATTTGAATCCGGCATGTACACGTCCTCAGTCGTCTTGCTCCGGTGGCTTCGAGAGTATCCGGTGTCGGCCTAGCGCGTACCTGGCTGACTTCTGTCTGCTTTCTGGTCTCGATCTGATAGGACGTGGCGTAACCTCGAACATTACTATTTTGCGGAGTTCTGTAAGGGCGTCGCAGCATCAGTTGCGCCGGCTGCCGCTTCAGCGCAGCCGGCGGTACTCGTTTCCCGACTGCCGCTCTGGATTGTGGGGACAGAATCTCTTGATGTGTCCAGCCTCATTGCAGTAGAAGCAGATCACTCGTGAGTCATATTCTCGGGGCCGTGCTCCATTTCCAACCGCTTCGTCGTTCCTCTCACGGCGGGTCCACTGGCGGACGGGCGTCGCTCTGCGGGGTGCTCGGGGCAGCGGTAGTTGGTCGTCGTACTGCTGATAGCCTTCCGCCGTCCTGCCTCGTCCGTTCCAGCGAGATCGTGTCCCTCCTTGTTGGTATCCCCTCCGGCGCGGTCGTCTCTCGTATTCCTCTTCCTCCTCTTCGTCCTCCTCTTCGTCTTCATCCTCGGAGTCCCCGTCGATCGGTCGGCGCTGGTTGCGAGGTAGGGATTTCTGGCTTTGTTTCTTTGCTGTTTCTTTCTTCAGTCCTCCTCGAGCTGTTTTGGTAGTTTCTTCGTCGGTGTCCTCTTTCTTTTTCTTAGCGTCGTGAATTTCTAGGGCAGCCACTAGCTGTTCCATTAGCCCTTGACTCGTGAAGCTTGGGATATCGCGTTTGTAGCAGCTTAGAACTTCTTCCTCTCGATGACTCGCCTCCACAGCTTCTTCCTCGGCGGCTGCTTGGACTGCTTCATCAAACGTTTTGCATTTCTTTCTCCAGACCATTTGTCGCAAGCTACTTTTGAGTCCGCGAATGAAGTTAGATTTTCTCATGTAGTCCAAAAGTTTCTTGCGAGCTTCCCTTTTGGCGGCTGTTTCCTGTCTCAGTTGCTCATCTTGATTTTCTTCGCCATCTTCTCCTTCCATCTTGATTTCCTGCATCTCGGGTCCGAGCGCCAGAAGGGAAAGTTTTCTCACTGTCTGGGCCCACTCTTGGACAGTCTTGGTGCCCTGAGTTCCCGTGTTTAAAAGATATTGGTGCCACTGCTCTTTGCCGGATGTGATGAAACGTTCCTTTAATACTGTTTGTAGTTCTTTCCAGGTGTTAATTTTTCCTTCATCCCGCAGTTGTTCGGCATGTTCTCCGGCCTCTCCGCGAAGCCGGAACATTGCCGCCTTGAATGTCTGTTCTTCATTCCATCCCGCAAATTCGGCCGCTCTTGTTAGCATCTGGATCCATTCGTCTAGGTTTTGTTGTCCATCGTAGCTGTCGACAGATCCCAGCACGCGGTATCGCTCCATCTCTGTGGAAGAAACCTGAGCGTCACTGCGGCTGGCTGGCCTGATCCTCTCAGTAAGCTTGTGATTCTTCTTCTTTGGGTTCGTGAGCACGCGCCGTTCTGCCGGGTTTATGTGATGCCATCGACTTGACTTGGCCCCACGTTGGGCGTGCCAGTCTGTAGGGGGGCCTCTCTCCTCAGTCGTCCCGGGCTCTGTTGGGGTTCGTGTCCTAGTGCGGGTCGGCTCTGTGCGGACTTTGATCTCTGCCGTCCGCCCTCGGTGAGGAGTGCATTTAGCGAGGCCATTTGAGGCAAGTCAGTCTTTGGCGAACACACAGGCACTGCATCATTGGGTTTCACCACAACAGAGGGGGAGCAGTTAAGCGTTTGTTCTGGATCCCTCGGGCATGGTCCATCCCTGAGGATAATAAAAGGGTGCTAGGTGGTCGAACTGATTAACCTAAGCGCAATTGCTCCCGCAGACACTCATCCAGTCTCACACACTTTCACTCATCTGACTCAAACTTGTCCGTATTGCCGAACTGCGACGTCTCGCTTCCCACCCCCTTTTCCTATCCCTGCAGTCGATCCCACGTCCCAAATTACCTCGGCTCTGGAGTACCCTTGGAACCTTTGAACTTCCACTCTGCCTATCGGAGTTAATCGAAACACATCAATTAATTCTACACGTTCCGCCTAATGGGCCCTTTCTACTCATCGATGGTCTACATTTGGGATCACAAAGCACGTCTTACTACGTATTATCTCGCGTCTTACTGCATCTCCCGACGACTTACGGCGTATAACTCGCGTCTTACAGCGTCCTTGCCCTATAACGACTAAGTGACGACTTACAGCGTATAATTCGCGTCTTACGGTATCGTCCCCCGATAACCGGCGTATAATCGCGAATTACGGTATCTCTATCCGATCACCTGCGGTTATTCGCGTCTTACCGCGTCCTTGCCCTATGATGACGACGTGACGACTTACAGCGTATATTTCGCGCCTTATTACGGCTGGCACCGCTTTATTGCGTATTCGCGACTTACGGCGCGTACCGTCCTGGAACCGGGACTAGCGTCTTACGGCGTAACTTTCCGAGGCACCTCGTATTAAACTGCCGTCGCAGCCTACCTAAATAAACAAATGCACAATGTCCCCCAAATTACCCGACTCACCGCGATGTGGATCCGTTCATCGACTAACTGCGGTCACTGGGTTACCATTGTATCGCATATAACGTTCTCTGCCGCTCTGCCGATGGCATCCACCCTGCCAGTGATGGATACGTCCGAGCTTGACGCAGGCCCTTCCTATATTTAAATTTTACCCGAACTCTACTGGAGTTATTCCCGAACCTATCGAGGTGTAAGTACCAGTGAGGGACCTATGTTCGCGACTTACGGTGTCTCCCCGATCACCTGCGTATCGCGTCTTACGGTGTCTCCCCGACCACCAGCGTATCGCGTCTTACGGCGTCTCCCCGACCGCCAGCGTATATCGCGCCTTACGGTGTCTCCCCGACCACCAGCGTATCGCGTCTTACGGTGTCTCCCCGACAACCAGCGTATATCGCGTCTTACAGTGCCGCCCTCCGGTCACAAGCGTATGTTCGCGCTTTACTGCGTGCTCCTAGGTGTCTAAGTGTCCCGTTTCCGTTTGCTCCCATGTAACTAGACTTGGACGTTTTTCAGGTCCCTTCTCCCCAATGATGCGTCCTTACCGGCAGAACTTAACGCGCAGGGGCGTGGTCGCATGCTCCTTCCTCTCTTCCGCCCGGGCTAAACACGTCCTATTATGTCGTACGTTCCATTCCTGTCAGGGGTCTCGTTTCTAATCCTAGGTTCCTGGTTATATGTGCGAGAATATCATGCCGACGCGGTGGGCGAATCGTGAATCCTCCAGCCTCCGAAACTTGTCTCCCGTTCCCGCCTGAGTGACTGTACGTACGTGTAGCTGCGTGTTCATCGTAAGGGTAAGAGAAAGAGAGAGAGAGAGAGAGAGAGAGAGAGAGAGAGAGAGAGAGAGAGAGAGAGAGAGAGAGAGAGAGAGAGAGAGACAGATAGAGAAAAGAGAGAGAAAAGGGAGAAAGAGAGAGGAAGCGAGAGATAACGAAGGAGGAAGAGAGAGAGAGATAACGAAGGGGAGAGAGAGAGAGAGGGAGAGAGAGAGAGAGAAAGAGAGAGAGAGAGAGAGAGAGAGAGAGAGGGAGAGTGTAGAGGATCAAATCAGAACACTATTGGCAGCGGAGGAAAAATCAGCGTCAGCGGTGCTTTACCGTGCACGGCCCCTCCTGGTGAACGTCACGAGTAAAGGCCCTTTGTTACGAATGGAACGGCCTCCAGCCCGATAGATATCTATTATGTTGTTCACTACGAAACCATTTCCGTCACACTACGAAACCATAATTATCATGTCGATACCGAATGAAATGCCTAATCACGAAATTACCGAAGCCACACAAAACAAGGATCACCAACCTTATGCCGAAATTGCTGCTAATTGACTTTAATGAGTTGCAATTACATCCCCAATATTCATCGTAGCAAAATCCTAACGATCGAGGGAACGCTGATTCAAAAGATAGAACCGTAGCGGGGCTTATAAAGTCCCTCCGCTAAAGGCTTTGGCCTGGAAAATAGTGATAATTGCAAGCGTTTGCACTTAACAATTGATAAGCACCTTTGCCTACTACGTTGATTTCAATTTCACTGGACTTCACTTTTACGGCAACTCCGGTACGCAAAGTTTAACAATAAACCTGAATACAAGAAAACTGGGTTTATTCAATCAATAGCACATTATCGAGTTTGCATATTTTTCCCAATTTACGTCTCGTTTTCATATCGACGATTTCCCCAAAAAAAAATCTTAATTAATGACGCTCTAGCAATGTTACATAGCTGGTAGGTCTCGCCAGGAGATTAGCCCGCAAAACGATTCACGGCCGAGAACTGTCGAATGCCTTAAGGTGCCGGGTGATAAATCATGAAAAAACTATCCTTGTTTACTGTGAAACTCAAATTTATGCACGGAGGTTTCACGAAACCCAAATATAAAATGATGGCCAGTCTTTCCCTTAGACTCGAGCTAATTCTCGTAATTGCAAACTCTAAGTGTTAGCGAAAACGGCTTCTGTTTCATTGACTTTCCATCATCACGTTACCCTGAGGCCATCGGTCATCTACACAAGCCGGGTTGACGGTGATCAGTTCTAAACAAGTGTTCTATTACTGAGATCCTTGTGGCCAAGAGCGGTCTAATTAGTTGTTGATCGGGTCGTGCTCAATTGAAGATATCACCAATTATTAGCTATGCAAAACCTGTCCGTATCTTAAATGTCCTAGATGGGAATTTATTGCCGGCTGCGAAATCAAGACTTAAATTCAGCATCCCCTTGTCTAAATGATTCTCTAAATGATACCTTCTGCCTATCATGGAGCGAAACCGGGAATAGAAGACTCTGTAAGTTATGTTACTTGACTATTAACACTGTCGGCTTGTCTTAACGTCGATCAGGCATCTCACATACATATTCTCTACCTGTCAGTGTCTGAGCGTAATCGTGGTCGGCTCGGCCCCCTTGAAAGTGTCGTGTCTGTCCTGCAGACGGCACTACGGTCGCGTGTCACGCCGGTAACCGAGGAGGGCTCGGCTTATCGTTTCTGATTCACTCCCTAGATGGCATAAGCGTTCACTCGCATGACAGGGCGGCGGGCCGCCCAAGCGTCCCTCCCCCGGCCGGGTTAATTGCGCCGCTCGGCCCCACCGGCCGGGCTACCGGGCGGAGTCCCCGCCCCCTATTTGAGTCATCGACCCGTACGGACCAGGCGGAGCGGCAAGCATTCCTTGTGCTGAGATTATTATGGGCTGGAAAATGTGGACGGATGATAACCCGGTCAGTGCTGACCAGGCGACAATCGAACAGCTCCCGTGCGAGCGCTGCGTTGTCTAAGGCAGGATAATAACCCGGTCCGTTCTGACCGGACGACAATCAAACAGCTCCCGTTCGGGCGCTGCATTGTCTTAAGGCAGGATAATATCCCGGTCCGTTCTGACCGGGCGACAATCAAACAGCTCCCGTTCGAGCGCTGCAGTGTCTTAAGGCAGGATAATAACCCGGTCCGTTCTGACCGGACGACAATCAAACAGCTCCCGTTCGAGCGCTGCATTGTCTTAAGGCAGGATCATAACCCGGTCCGTTCTGACCGGACGACAACAAACAGCTCCCGTTCGAGCGCTGCAGTGTCTTAAGGCAGGATAATAACCCGGTCCGTTCTGACCGGGCGACAATCGAACAGCTCCCGTTCGAGCGCTGCAGTGTCTTAAGGCAGGATAATAACCCGGTCCGTTCTGACCGGGCGACAATCAAACAGCTCCCGTTCGAGCGCTGCATTGTCTTAAGGCAGGATCATAACCCGGTCCGTTCTGACCGGACGACAATCAAACAGCTCCCGTTCGAGCGCTGCAGTGTCTTAAGGCAGGATCATAACCCGGTCCGTTCTGACCGGACGACAACAAACAGCTCCCGTTCGAGCGCTGCAGTGTCTTAAGGCAGGATAATAACCCGGTCCGTTCTGACCGGGCGACAATCAAACAGCTCCCGTTCGAGCGCTGCAGTGTCTTAAGGCAGGATCATAACCCGGTCCGTTCTGACCGGGCGACAATCAAACAGCTCCCGTTCGAGCGCTGCAGTGTCTTAAGGCAGGATAATAACCCGGTCCGTTCTGACCGGGCGACAGTCAAACAGCTCCCGTTCGAGCGCTGCAGTGTCTTAAGGCAGGATCATAACCCGGTCCGTTCTGACCGGGCGACAATCGAACAGCTCCCGTTCGAGCGCTGCATTGTCTTAGGGCAGGATCATAACCCGGTCCGTTCTGACCGGACGACAATCAAACAGCTCCCGTTCGAGCGCTGCAATGTCTTAAGGCAGGATATTAACTCGGCCGCGAGTTGGCCAGACGACGAGGATGTGGAATCAGTTCAGGTGCTTCCGGGTCAGCCTGGTCACTCCCGCGCTC